TTCATTCAACTAATATTTACTCAGTACTTACTACTGTGTTTAGACCCTGAGGATTCAAACCTCATTAAGACTGGCTCAGGTGAGTCCAGTAGAATGCAGTTTGGAGCTAAAGAGGGATTGCTTAGCCAGCCTTATCATTCCACTGATGAAAACCCAAAGCCTGCAGAGAAGGCAGCTTTCCAAGGGGGAGAACACAGAAGAGTCAGGGCAAATGAACATGTGAAGCCATGGTTAGAAAGTAGATGCTGTCACAACCAAGGAAATGGTGGCAGATAAAAGTACTAGGGCTTAAGTGTTACTTGTTCCTGATGTGTACACACAGGAAAGGACTGTCCTTCCACACTGTCTGCACAGGGCTACCTCCTCATACTGACTGCCCCTGTGTGCTACCATTGGTTCCTGCAGTGCACAGAGACAAGGCCACCATGCCTCGCCATGGTCTCAGCTGTCTTCTGAGAAAGTCAAGTATTGAACCTAGAGTAATAAGGACCAGATTTCCACAATGAAGATCTTTGCGATCCAAGGTGACACCAAGACAGATTTGCGTGCCAATGCGCGTATCTAAAGCATGAGATAATATTTGTGAACAGTGCTTGCTAATTCTATCAGAAGGCTCCGGACTGTGCTAGTTAAGTCACTTCTTTCTCTCTGATGACTTGTTTAACACTCTGACCCCCAAGTTGAAGAATGATCTCCTTCGATGTGTGCAATCTTTAAAGCTCTTTGTTGGACTTGATCACGTGTCAGTGTGCACCCTGAAATCAGGGTCTATTTGTGTCAGGCACCACGAGGTAAAGCCATTGTGAGATTTAACGCCACTTTGGGGTGGCTTCCCAGAGGAGATGAGATGGGATTTATTTTAAGAAATGGAAATGAGTTGGTTGAAGGCAGCGTGTGTCTTCCACAAGTGCCTCCAAAGAGGCTAGAAAATAGAAGCAGGATGGGGAGGGTGTGGGGTGAGGAAACGTACAAAGTGTTCTGTGATTCTCTCATGGTTGGAGGAAAGTCTCAGGCAAGCTTACTCTGCCAAGACCAAGGGAGCAAACAGACCCTCAGCAGGACCTCAGGCCATATGCTCTCCATGCGGGACACCTTCGTACCCAGTTTTGCGCTGACCTTGGAAATGACCTCCGTCTGGAAGCCTGAGTGAGCCACAGGAAGATAATATGAAATCTCTCAAGCTTACAATAGGCTTGGGCTGTCCAATCTCCACCAGACCCTTATGAAATGCCGATTACTCAAGAACTCTTAGGTGGAGTCAGCACTCAAGAATTGAAAGCCTGTGGCCCCGTTTCCCTCCCAATGGACACAGTTGGATACATAGAGAAGTCACAGTGGGATGCAGCCAGTGGGCTGATTTTGGGAGAAGGGCTGATCGTGAGGAAGCTCTGGGAGCTTTATGTCAGCACGGCAGCCAAGTGCTCGGGTTTTGGAGGGTAGTGGCTGGGAGTGAGGGAGAAGGGTACTGCATGTAGTATTTTTCCTTGTGGTATTTGTCCCAGAAGACCCATTTGATATTGACCCCCGAACTTTGAGACACAGCCAGGTCTTGCCAATAGCTTCTGTACGAATAACATGATGCAAATCAGCTGGGAGAAAAGCAGTTACCATGGAAACCCCAGACTTCGGTTGGGAAAGTAAAAGTGATATTTATGATGACTGCACTGGTGGTTTATAACAACCACGCTACTCGGGAAGTTTTTTTTTTAATCCCAAACTTTAGCATTCCTTTTTCCCCCTACTTTGCCTTGCAGAATTT